AGAGAGGACATAATTAAGGTAAATCCTTACTAATATTATAAATGTTAAAGTTTGTGCGTATGGATGCTTGTTACTCTTTCACGCCAGAACGGTTGAACGGATCTGGATGAAACTTAGCACAGAGATAGATTATAGTGTGGAATAACACATAGGCTACTTAAAGGCAACTATAGGCTTTTTGTACCGGAAAAATGTACGGTTCCCGTGGGATAGGTTTGTTTTTGTTTTCCTAGAGGGGAACACGAGCGTAGCGAGGGTGAGCCGCTAGTAAGTAAATAATTCTAAGCAAATGCTTTTTATTATTTTATATGGCTCGGGTAATATGATTTTAATCGTAAGCATTTTATTGCGTCCTTTAAGCCTTCCACCTTTCAAGAAATGGTGTTAAAAAAAATCTGAAAAAGTTGAGGTATAACAGTTATCGAAAATTATCTTGCAGAACATATGTAAAGTTTCGTAGTTTTTGAGATATGGAATAATTTTAGTTACGCGCTTCGTCAGTTTAACAACCATTCAAACTTGTTTTCTATAAAATGTTAAAAAATGATAAGTTCGCGCTTATTTTTACGGTTGATAAAATGAGTCGATATCGTGAAAACGTAAATATTATTCGTATTTATCTTAACCTAACAAAATACTTACGTATATGTATTTATTCTCAGAAATGAGATATCCTGAGGTAAAAAGTATCCTATATGTTGACTCGGATAACCAGCTATCATCATACCAAATTTCATCAAAATTCGTCTAGTGGTTTTTCCGTTATGCGGTAACAGACAGACAATAATTCTAAAAACTATAGATTCGGCCTCTGTGTCGATAATAATGTCAATAAGATTTTCCAAAAATGTTTAATACATAGATTCGGCTTAGTTAGAATGTTATTATAGGTATATAAAAATTTATAAATAAAATTGAAGCTTCTATATGTAATTTTCAAGTTCTTTGTTTTTTGTAAAAAGAAAGATAAATAAGGCTATCATATTTTTCAAAGTAGAAAGAAACAGATCTTAAAACACTAATTCAATATGAAGGTTTTGTATAATTTTATCCAATCTTTTCTGCTCTTAAGAAATAAAAATATTTGTGATAAAACGATTCTTTTAATTCATTACGTGACTTGTATTAAGAAAAGCTTTGGTTAGGTTCAGTATACACAATAAAATGTATCCTACAATTTTCGGCCGAAATCAAGGTCGAGTCTAGGTCCGCAATGACTATAAACTATGATAAATACGTATACTGCGAACTTGTGGGTTGATAAAATGCGCTTTTTTTAGATTTCAATATTTTTCATAATACACTCATATTTCACTCAAAAATGTAATCGGTGCGTAAATCTTTATGGCGGAGGGACTGCTTTGTCGAGAAATTTAAAAATAAAACCAACCTGCATTTATATACATATTATATATGTATATATAGAGGCATTTGTTTGCGAAGGGGCTTTGAAAATTGTCAGATTAATGTAAGTACGAAAAGGTTATCAGGTACTCAGAAGCAGAAGAATCGTGTTATAGTACTACAAGAATTAAGACAAATCTCATTAGTATATACCAACTTGAAATGTTTTTCATCTACGAAAGCTTAAAAAATGTAAAGCTTTTTATTCACCCGAACCCTTTCTCTGCCCGCAAATGCAAGTTCCGTTAGAATCGGTCAAGCCTATATGTGTATATTCCTTTCTCGATATACATCATATTTTATCATTTAAGTCCTCTATTTAGAAGTTGCAGGCTTATAAATATCAGTTGGCTATTCAAGAGATTAGCCGACACGTATATATTTTATCTAGTTCATTATCACTAACTAAAATTCATAACATCGAACACACATTTCCTAAGTTATGTTGAAATAACTGACATATATCAAGTTTATTTATAGTAGGTACTAGATAAATTATCTAAAACATTCTTCTTAAAAATAAAAACCCGAGTTTATAAACGCTAACTAAATAAATGAAAACAAGTTGACGAAGAAATAATAGTATTATGCAGTCGGAGACAACACGTTTCATCCTTGTCGCGAGATGTGGACCTACATAATTGTGTGCCTAAAAACCTTTGCGTCGCGCAGTCGGGTAAACACCTAAGTCCACCATAACCTATGACCTATTTAGATTTAATTCTAACAAAGAGTAAAGTTCACCACAAGCTGTGAGCCTCCTGCAATTTACACATATCCACATGGTTAGGACATTAATGCAAACGTTGAACAGTTGCCTAAATAAAATAATCTTTAACTCTGTATATTTAAGAGTAATAATTTAACGTACAGTCTCGCCATTCGTTGTTGAAGCAGGTCTCAGCTGTGTGTAGGGCGCGCGCCTATCGATTCCTACAAGGACAAGGCCACCACACTCACACACACTTTATACAGAGATTTGTGGACCGATTTTCGTATCAAAATTATCTAAATGTTTTGAATCGCGTCATTTATCTTACATATTTTTTAAGATAATTGATGGGTTAGATTTACTCTCAATTTAGAAAATTATAAAATATTAGGAAATCTTTTCTATACATTTTTTTCTATACAACGATGGGAAAAGGACTTGTTATCACCTCCATAATATTTTTTATAATAAATAATTCACCTTATTGTACAGTTGTATGAATTGTACAGTTAGAGATCATAATATAGACTACTAATTAAGCCAGACTTCCTGATTTTCAAGTTCTACGGGGTATAGATGTTTGTAAATACCTCACAATTTAATAAACGTGTTATTTTTTAAGAAGAATATAGATTTTTATTTAATGACAAACCATGAAAACAAGATTCGCTTTTTTAAAAATCAGCATAGTTTTCTGCTTGTTTGTTATTTTCGAAGGCATGTGGAGGAGAGGCTCTTTAATTTATGTATACTTATACCAAGTGTATAAAAATGGACTTGGTCTGAGAAATTAGTTAATTTATACTTAACTAGCGACTCACCCTCGCTTCGCTCGGGTTCGTCCCTAGCTTACTTCACCATACAAACTTTCATCCCCATTTTCACCCCCTTAAGGGATGATTTCCGGGATAAAAAGTATTCTATGTCCTTCCCAGGGTCTCAAACTATCTTTTTACTAAATTTCATCTAAATCGGTTTAGTAGATCCAGAGATTACCCCCTACAACATCACAAACTCACAATCTCACAAACTTTACCTCTTTATAATATTAGTATAGATATGCTTAGACCGTTCTTTTAACTTTGTTTTATCATATAATTAATAGCAAACCTTTTATCCTAAATCTGATGTGTTTTTTGAATATTATTTCACATTGCATTTGTAATTATTTTTTTTATCTAGTGACACACGACCCTAGTAGATATTTTAGGCTGAAAACGTAATGATTTTTGTATTATTTGGCATTCCAATGGTGGAAGAATTATTGCAACAGTTCAGTAGTTTGAAAAATTATCAGCTAAAAAAGTAAGAATCATTTTTTTTTCTTCTTGATATGCTAGTGATCAGTTAGTAATCAATAACATCCATATCCAAACTAATATTATAAATGTAAAAGTGTTATTTATTTGTTGTTTGTCTTTTTTTCATGTCGAAACGGAGTGACGGATTAGCGTGATTTTGTGTGTGGAGATAGAGAGAGGGCTGGAGAGTTAGATAGGCTTCTTTTAACCGCGGGAGATTATCTAATTCCCACAGGAAAACAAACACACTTTCATATTTATAATATTAATAAGTATGAATACTTTATAGCAAAGAAAAATTAAATAGATAGTATAATTTTTTTATATAATAAGAACATAACATTACATATTTATACCAACTTGATAATGAGATGGAAGGGTAATGTAGCGACTAGTGAGGCTCGGTAGTGCCCAGGAAGGCTTTGTGGCGAGCGGCGCAGGCGCGTTCACATCGATCCCTGACGCCTGCTCTACACGGCGTAGGAAGACGCCTCGCCGGTACTTTGTAACTCAATGGAGTTGTATGTGTCCGTCTTGAATTGCCCTATATCTCATAATTTATATCTTCTAATACTTAAGCAATCGACAAACTTTACGATTCAATAAAAAATTAGAAAGAGAAAGATTTGAAATTATTTTTTTCATAGCTTTTGCACCGTAATATATTTTTAAAATACGAAATATGTAGTTAGGTTAATATTATGCCTATTTGATTATTTGCATAATTTATTTGGACATCTATCTATATAAATAAAAATTAAAAATGAATGTTGCTAATCGCAAAACTCGAAAACGGCTCGACCAACTCAGCTTATCTTTTTTTCGTATCTTCCTAAATATTAAATAAGGTAAATATATATAAATACAAGTCGTGTTAGTTCCACTATTTATAACTCAAGAACGAGTGGACCAATTTTTATGATATTTGATTTTTTGCATAAATGTCTTAGTCCAGAATAGGATAATAAGTAATAAAACATCTGAAAAATTAACGAAAAAGAAATTAAAATTTATATGGGTAACGCTGGCTAATAACTGTTTATATCTATTCAAAACGTAAATATTATACACCGTATCTGAAACTAGGTCATACAATAGATTAAGTTCGATTTTTTCGATTTGATATGTAGATTATACTTGAATGTACAAAGGCTTACTTATTTACAAAATACACTATACCAAAACATTAAACATTAACCTTTTTATCCAACATAAAGTAATTTGGATTATACTATGGTAACTTTCATTAATAATTCCAAAATAGCACCATGCTACAAAATTTAAAATGGGAAGGGTTGGTTAACGCGGAAGGATGGCGGGAGGGGCGGTGCAGCTGCCGGTGCATCAGGCGGGCGGGCCCCGCGCCCACGCCCTGCCCCGCGCCCCGCGCCGGCCCATTGCCAAGTTCAATGCCAAGGTCATGCGCGAGCGAGTGCGACTGCGCGCCGCAATGCAGGAGCGGCCGGCGACGCGTACCGTCAGTACCTCGACGACCATTCTGCACACCGCATGGCGAAACTCCCCAATCACTTCAAATTACAAATATTAATCCTCATCCTTAAAATCCCCTCTGGTCCTTCCAGGTGACGCGCAATATGTGCAAAGTGGCGATCGTACGTCGTGACGGTATTATGCCGGTGAGCACCATGTGCATTTGATGCGACTTGCGAAACCCGGTTCCAGTTATGCAATACCTGATTGAACACAAGAAAATTACCGGTAAGCATAGCCTTTTTTGCTTATATTTTGATCAACTCGTTCCAAATCCGCTACCATTGCCGTTTTGATAATTCGTTTAGTTATTGTAGGTAGTAAGTGCGGAATGGCGATCTATTTCTATATTTTCTTCGTCTATAAATGTTTTCCATAATATATAAGGCTATATATAATGTATTGTTATATTTTAAACAGTATGTTCGAGATTTTAAGATGCGAAAGCAACAATAACTGCCGAAAGCTTTCAATTTGTTCGTTAAAGTAGCCATATTTGTTTTAGGATTATCATATAACTTATTCTAAGATAGGCAACTATTTGCATTCGTGGCGGTCAGTTTATGAATTGCTGTTCTTATCTACTTATTTCATATTGTTTTGCAAATAACTAGACATAATAGATAGGCAAATGGATGAAATATCGTTTTCACGTATTCATAACTTATTTTGATGAAGACATAATCATTCGTGTCTAGTAAAAGAAAAAATACGTACATTCCAGCAACAAAGCTGGAACAAAAAGCCTGAAAGATGGCGGAATGGCAAGAAAACTATTTCGAGATTCGCTTTCAAAATGGCTGCCCAAATGTTCTAAGGCCCATCAAGGGCATCAAGAATAAGGGCCAAGAGACTGATACAACGCGTCGTATCCTGTTGTAGAGCTTGCAAAAAATGTCGAACACACAAGTTCAAGGCAATCGGGTGATCCTAACCGACTAGCTCTAGTAGGCTGTTTGAAATGAGCACTTCCAGTGTTGACTTATATGATTTGTTATAAAACGTATGTAAGTATTTAAATTTTTTCAAGTAAGGCCATATATTGCCAATTGTTTACATCTGGTAGTAAAGTATGTGATTAGAATCTCAATAATAACAATGGCAGACATAACTAGAGTTGACTGTACATAATATAACATTACTATTATGTTAGCCTTAGTAGAAAATGGAAATAACACATTTTTGATATACTTACTAAATGCAATTTAAAAACCAAGTACGACCTTTAAAACCGTATTATACATAACTAAAATCAATTTCTTAATAATATGTTGTCATTAACCACATGGGAGGATAATTATAATAAGCAGCAATCTATATTTGAAACGAGAAAATATTTACATTCAAATATGTACGAGGCTTTCACGTAATAACAATTTGAAAATTCGTAAATTATAATAATTTAAGTATTCAGAACGAATACTGTGATTATAATTTATGTAAGACGTATTTCAAGAATATCGCCGCAATTTTTGTCCAGTACCGCCCACACATATCACCTTGAACCCAGACCCGCGATGCCTGAATATCAATCGCAACAAAATAATTATATGTAGTTAGTTTTACACTGTATCGTGTCATGTTTTGCTATATAATACTATAAGTTTGGTTTTTAATTCTGAAGCCTCCTTATTTGTGCCTTTTTCCTGATAATATAATAATATATCACTGAAAGTTTTTTTTACTATTCATTATTATAAAAAAATACATTTCTGTGAAATAGAGTCTAAAAATATATAGTGCTTGCGACAAATGGAATGTAACAGTTCAATAACAAAATTTCTGTATATGAAACCTATTGTTCATTATCCGATCTAAAACTGGATCGAACCTATATAAGTTGCAAATTAGAACACTATTTGGCTCTAGTTTATGGAATATGTTTTTTGGTTTGATATATTTCTTTTGTTTATACGTGTCAGATACGATCATTGTGGAAAATAATAAAGCGAGCTAGCATGAGCGTGGTGGTATGGACTTGTGCAATAGCGCTATCAACAATATCAGCTGACAGCGCGTCACGTTGACGTATCGTCACCAACATGGCGGGTAATATGGCTGCTCTTGCTCGTTTATGTTTATTTACAAGTTACAACAGCATTAGTCATAACTCATAACCCACGGTCACAACTCACAAGGTCTTTCTTATGGAGTACTTTACATTTGAAAAATTATATGCATTAATATGTAATATTTAAAATTATAACTACATAATATAAGTATATTATAATAAGTTTAATCTATACATATAATAAGATTCTAACTAAGTTGAATCTGTACATTAAATATTTTTTGAAAAATCTTATTGAAATAGACATTATTATCGATACAGAGGCCGAATCTATAGTTTTTAGAATTTTTGTCTGTCTGTCTTATCTGTTACCGTTTCACAGAAAAACTACTGAGGGATTTTGATGAAATTTGGTATGGTCACAGCTGGTTATCCGGGTCAACATAAAGGATACTTTTTACCGCGGGAAATTACACTACTACAAAAACTGGTTAGAATAAAACCACGATGATACAATATATATTTTAGCTAGGTAACTTACTAAATAAGGCAAAAACTATTAAAAATACCTTATGCACTTAAGCATATTTTTGTCATTGAATATGTAGGTATTACGAAAAACTAAAATTTTTCTAATGCAACATCGACAGTTTGTATGACTCTTTAACACGTGGAAATTTAGACGTGGTTGACTGTGGGAAATTCCAACATATTTTGTAAAAAACATAGCTAGCATTGCGAAGTACCTATAACAAAATATATACATATATCATTTTAGTACAAAACATATTTAAAATGTATGAAATAAATATAAATAGGAATATTAAAATATGTGTAGGGACAAAAAGGTGCAATATCAGAAATATCTAACGACGATAACTATTATTTAATTACCTACTTAAACACAAGGAAGTATTAAAACGCTAGAAGCTACTAATAATTTTAATTTGTAACTGTTAACGTGTTTTTTTAATATTTTATTAAATTACAAGCAGCCAACCTGTAAAGGTTACCCATCGACAGTACAAAGGGAAGCTTAATTAATATTTCTAAATTCAAAAATGACAAAATTTGGCCTCCTCTTCGCATACAAAGTTTCGCCATGAATTTTCAAACATCTTTCTTGAAAAGTAAACTTGTGAAATTTTGCTCCTAGACTTGGCTATTCAGGCTATAAGTACATGAATTATATGTTAGTCTATAATAATATTATATAGAGGTAAAGTTTATGAGGTCGTAGGGTGTAATCTCTGGATCTACGGAACCGATTTAGAAGAAATTTGGTAAGAAGATAGTTTTAGACTCTGGGAAGGACTGGATACTTTTTATCCCGGAAATCAACCCTTAAGGGGGTGAAAATGGGAATAAAAGTTTGTATGGAGAATCAACCTAGGGACAAACCCGAGCGAAGCGAAGGTGAGTCGCTAGTTAGTATATAAAGATCTAAATATATATTTTAATTCAATTTTAATTAACGAAAATATTCCTTTCATAACTAGTTGGTACTTCTCATACAACAAGTAATTTTCTCATAAGTCTCTCACACTTATTCTTTCGTTTATGTAAAATGCGACTATATAACTGTAACAATTTAATTTGCTTCCCCAAATTTTATACCGAATGCAGGGGCGAGCAATTAATTGCCCGAGGGTAGTATTAATAAGTAAGTAGGTGACTAGGTACAAGGTCGTTCCAATAACGCTTGACATTTCAAAGGTTATTTTCTTTACCCTAAGGCATATTCATCATAAAGTATTTTCATATTGACTCTTAGGATTTTCTAGGTAGGGGGTTTGAGGATTATATCACGGTGTCGGCAACATGTGAAATATAAACAACATAATATTTTTATATGAATGATATAAATTGCATTTCCATGTCATTGTATGAATTAACTTAAATTAATTTACAATGGTGATTTTGCGAATCACTTTTATTTGAACAAGTTTTAAAATAAAATGTGTTGTATTTACATTTTACACGTGTCGATGAATTTTTATTAATTTACGTTTATATAAACCACCTGTTAATAAAACTTTAAAAAATGTAGTTGATTAAAAACAAATACATATCTGGTGATAATTAAATTACATTAAAAAAAAATCATAAAAGTTATAATTTATGAATACTTAAGAAATTTATTTTAAGGATCTTAACATCCTTCAAATTCATAGAGTCGGTAAAATGAACATTCAAAGAGTGTTCCATATAAATACGATTATTTTTGTGTAATTGTGTGCATTTTATGTTAATAATAGGTGAAGATAAATACTTAAAATTTTACAATGGACCTAAATGTATAATAAATACAATTATTATACCAAAATAATATTGAACATATTTTATTACATACGTATTACTGTTATTTTTAAATATAACTATATAAAGTACAAATACGTAATTTATTAATCATATAAATCTATCTGTATGAGGCAGAGAAATTGTAATATAAGAATACGTCGAAACGTCTTAAATTACACCACGCTCCCGCCCCAAATTGACTTGTTGTTGATCGATACAAAATCCTGTTTATCATAGAAACACGTTTTATTCGTCTCGGTTAACAGTTTGAAAATTTTGCAAAAATCCATACAAAACCAAGAATATCCCCAGTTATTAATCAGCTATCGCACACACAGACATGAACCCTTAAGTTTGCACGTGTCGCGTATTCATATTCGTTACGTAGTGTGACATAGCACGAGAGCTGGCAACGTTTTAACGTTACAATGTTGCGTTTAAATATGTACACGTTTATTGACGTTTTATTTGCTAATAAAGCAAATAGTTTCTCATTTACAGTCTTTATAAATATCAAGGTAACTAAAAATATTACCACATTTATATACAATAGTCATCTAATAAGAATCTGATAAGATTTTTTTCAAAACATTGTAATTATAATTTATTATTACTTAATTCATTCTGCAAGTCCACTCGTGATAAAACAAACAACATATTAACAAAATGATATCTCTCAATCACTAAAACCAGTGCGGCAAGTGGCAAGTATCATTTATCGACAATTTGTATGTACATACAAGCGTTGTTATAGCCAGCTCCTAAGCTAAGGCTATACGGGCGGCGGTCGCGGCGAGTGCAGCTTGCACATGCGCGGAGGGGAGGGAGACCTTGAACGCGCCTAGCAACAGC